GGGCGACGAGGGGAGAGGAGAAGACAAGTGGGGGAGGAGACGGTAGTAGCAAACCGACTCGTCAAAGGTTCTAGGGAGGACATGACACGATGCATGGCTGGGTGGTAGAATAGCCAGCCAGGCGCGTCAGTTGGAAAGCCAAGAAAGACGCAGCAAACAGTGCGAGACGAGTGCTTGCCCACAGTGGTTTCGCGAACAAGGGCAAGCGAACCCCAGACCCGAAACGCCGACGCATCGCCAACCTCCCCCGTCCAACGTAGTGTAGGCGAGGTCTCTGGCTCGGAGACACGGGGCCAGAGGTTGAGCTGATGCACGTCGTATCAGGCCACAAACGACCACAGAAAATGGGGAGAAGCCGTTTGGATCATGGAGGTGCGAGCAACCTCCATGACCAAGCCAATGTGGTGCTCAGCGATCCCATTCGGTTGTGGAGAAGCCACAAGCATGAAGGATTGGGTGATGCCCTCCTCATGACAAGGAGACCGGAGGAAAATTCACCTCCACGGTCAGAGTGCAAACGGAGTATGGCGAGGTCCTGACGGAACCGTGCGCTCAGCTGGCGACAAACAGCGCGGATCCAAGGGATCACAACAAGACGGGCTTTGCCCTTGCGCTGCAAGGGAAACACCCTGGTGTAGCGCATGTAGTCGTCGACGACCAGTTGGAAGTAGCGCTCCCGGCCCGGCCCAGATACAAGTAGCTGCACTGGCACCCCCTCCCATCGAGCCCGCAGGCCCAGGACCACCTCCAGTGTCGCCTCCATCCGACGCGCTAGTGGCGCCAGTTTCTCCGCCACCCACGCTGCCACCACCAGCGCCATCACCCTCCCCCCCTCTGCCCCGGGGCCGCCCACTCGTGATGGACATGGCTGTAGTCCTCGGAAGAAAGAGACACAGTAGAGCCAAGAGAAGTAGTGAATGTGGGAAGCTATAAGAGAGTGCACCCCTGGAAGAGCGGGGAAAGTACGGCGCCAGAAGCGGAGGCAACGGGGTGGATGTTACTTTCGATGTGCGTGAGAGTTGTCTCAAGGACATCGATAGTAAACGCACTAGGGTGCTTCCAAAGAAGCACGTCACTAACAAGTGCAATGCGGCCAGGGAGGCTAGTGACGATGAATTGAATAGTGATCACCATGGGTGGAGGGATCAGTGCAAGCTCAGCCTCAATACAAGCAGCACGGTAGCTAACGTCTAGCGAGCGCACGTGGGTGATAAGGTCAGCAGTGCGGTCAAAAGCACCTAGGCCGGGAAAGAGAAACAGGTGAAAGAGGCGAACAAGAGAGGCAGAGGAGGGAGTTGAATAATGGGTCTTAATCGCAACGAACAAGGCCTTGGCTGATCGAACCTAGGTGAAGTGAGCCTCCTCAGACCTAGGGAGAAGACCGCCGAGTGCAATGCAAGCCACCTTGTCACAAGGCTGCCATACCGACAGAGCTGTATCAGCCTTATCGAAGCGTGCCTGGTGCGCCTCAGTAGGCTCAGCACCTAGGGCAGCAGGGGGCGGAGGCTTAGGCAGGTCACCAGAGGTGTGCGCCCATAGCGTGTCACCATCCTGGCACTGTCTCTTGAGGAACCTCTCGACACGGAGGAGCAAGGAGAGGAAATCTAGGGCTCTACCCTCCACATCAAAATGCAGGACTGAAGTGGACGCCACAACGAGAGAGCTATCGGTTTAGGAGTGCAAGGCCCGGAATGACCGGAGCTAGAAACGAACGAAGACGTACGGCGCCAAAAGAAAAGGGCTAGAAACGGTCGGAGCGAGTAGCAAACTAAGCCAGAGTGGCTATGCTAGGAGTAGCCGAAACGAACAACGAAACATGCCTGATGGCTAGTCCGGCGAAGGGAGTGACGAACGGGGCAAGAATGACTAGCCTAAGAAGACAAGGAACAACTAGACTAGAAACCTAAGTCATGCTCGGAGAGTTAGCTACAACTGCCAGCCGCTTGAAGAAACGCCTATGGCAGATGGCGTGCGGGAGAGACAGCAAAAGCGGATGGAGAGGCGTCAGCTGCAGGCACGGTAGATGCTGCTCGTGCGGCTATTGTTGTACGGGCGGCTGCTGTCGCAGGAGCGGTTGCTGCTATGCGAGCGGCCGCTGCTGCGCGTACGGCTGCTGCTGCGTGTGCCGCTACTGCCGCACATGCAGCTGCGTGTGCGCAAGAAGCTGTTGCAGCGTGCATGGCCACTGTTGCGTGGGCAGCTGTGTGCGGGACTGCACGTGCGCGGCTGCGTGCTCGCGGCTGCTTGCGAGCAGCTGCGCACGAGCAACTGCTCCTGCGCAGATGTGTGTGTGCGGCTGCGTGTGTGCTGTTGCGCGGGCGCAGCTGTGTGCATGCTGCGAGCAGAGGACGGGTAGGAGATGGGGCGGTACGCGGGACAGGTACGAGTACGGGACGGGCAAGAGCGCGCGCGGGCAGGGCAGCACACGGGATGAGGACGTAGCGGGACGGGACGGGTGCGGTGGTTGCGCATGTGCAGGCGCGGCTGGCCGGCTACACGGGCACAAGCTCGGTGATGACCGTTTTGTGCTGGGGGGGGGGGGGGGGGGGACACAGGAACGGGACGTGCAGGATCGACGAAGGATCGGAATGTACCGAGGAACTAACCCGGTACGACACACGAAGGAACTTATGCGCGCATAGTACGACTAGGAATTGATTGTGTTCGCACGAAGGAACTTATGCGCGCAAAGTGAAGTGGAAAATACATAAAAGAGCACTGAAGACACATGTCATATGTCACTAGAGATTATTTCCTCCCGCTCGCACGCATGAAACAGCTTCGCGATGCCTTCCAGATGCTCGTTGCATTTCACATCCCTCGCCTCTCTGCTTCTTAGCCACGTTCGCGGCATGAAGAGCTTCGCGGCGTTGAGGCGTGAGAGATCCCTTAGCCGCAAGTCTAGGTTGTAGATTAGCTCGTTCGCGAATGTCTGACAGGTCCGGATGCACGATTGGATGTCGCCCGCGCTCGACGTGTAACCGGGAATAGGGTCCTCGTGCAGCTGAAAAGCATGCAACCACGGCTGACCCTCAACGTCCACTCCCTCCACAGTCACGTCCCTAATGCACGGTGAACTGTACCATGCAAAAATCGGCGTCAGGTATGTGCCTGCCCTCGCCCCAAAATGTTCGCCACACTTGATATATCGCTCCTTGATGAAATCAAGAATACGCAAAACTTGGAACTACACAGCAGTGAAGTCTACCTGGGGCATGGGTTGGGGAAGAGGATGGTGGGCGAGGATTGCAAGTCATGGACAAGGCGATAAAATACAAGAAGTGTGGGTGAGCATACTATTTTTGCAGGGTTCAAGGTATTACCTCACGCCTCTGAAAGTACAGGTTTAGGGTGTTGAGCTTACTGTGGATGTCCGCAAGGAAAAGAAAAAAGAAACATAACTTTAACGAAGCGACCACCAGGTACATCTTTGTGTCGCACTCTTCCAGGAAAACCACCACTGCCGGCAACACCTTCACCAGGCGAGCGATCGCGTCTCCGTCACTCAACCACCTGATCACGTGGATGCCCTGCAGCTCCAGCTTGATTTGCGTGAAGGTGGATTGCAGTTCCTTAATGTCGAGTGAGAGTTGCT